TTTTTTGAGCATATAATCTAATAAACAGCAAATAAAAATTAACTTTACCTCTTCCTTTTCCATCGTGTACCTTTTTTTGTTCATTGCCAGAAAAGTGATAAATAGCAGGTGAAAGTAGACAGCCTGCTCTTGTCCCTGATTTTTAATGGAAATAGTTCTTTTTAAAAATTTTTTATTTTATTTTATTTTTTGAGGAGGAGTCTTGCTCTTGTCACCCGGGCTGGTGTGCAGTGGCATAATCTCGGCCCACTGTAACCTCTGCTTCCCGGGTTCCAGTGATCCTCCTGCCTCAGCCTCTCGAGTAGCTGGGATTACAGGCACAAGCCACCATGACCAGCTAATTTTTGTATTTTTAGTAGAGATGGGGTTTCAACAGGTTGGACAGGCTGGTCTCGATCTCTTGGCCTCGTGATCCGCCCACCTTGGCCTCCCAAAGTGCTGGGATTACAGGCATGAGCCACCGTGTCCGGCCAGAAATAGTTCTAAAGCTTCCCCTTGATGCCCCAGGCTGACTTTACCTTGAGGTATTTGATTCTTCAAGGACATATTTATGTTATTCAGAGTTTTTTCTTCAAAAATTACTTAAATAATTTGTTAGCATTTTGAGGAAATCGTGTTTTTTTTTCTCCACACATGCATATGATTTTTAAATACATATATATTAAAATATGCAAGGCAATACACATATGATCATCCTAGCCTTCCAGGAATTACCGCCACTTCTCCATGGCCCTTCTGATGTTTGCTGTGTTTAGTATTTTTTTCACTGCTATTCCTCAGTAAGTTGGCCTATCGTATTCTCACTTAAATAATCTTTGTTGGTTTGGTAGCAGTGTTAATGTTATTTGCCAGCTATTTGCAAATATTGAATAGTTTGTGTTGGGGAGAGAGTAGGGTTGTGTTTCAAGCTAGACAATATTTCATTTATGAAGTAGGATGGAGAGCGTGTCTTGTTCTAGTATTTACTACGCTAATTCGTGGTCTCTTCCTCCACCTTTGTCTTATTGATAGACATCTTCCTGCAAATATGATTTGTCAGCCTGATTTCTCATGTAGGCATCCTTCCTGATGTAAAAAAAATAGTAAGCTATATTCAGGGGAGTGTCTAATACCAGTTGGTGTACCAAGGTCCATTACTGCAAACAGTTTGAGATAACACTTCCCAAGGGTATGGTTTCACCTTGGAGAAGTATTTTGAGATAACACCTCCTAAGGGTATGGTTTCACTTTGGAGAACGAGACTTTGTTTGCTTTTTCTGAGATGTGTCTTCATGAGCATCTTCTCTGCCTTTTTCCATACCCATCCATTTGGCAGATCTTCTGTATATTTTGTGGTTTGAGTTTTCGATACCTCTAATTTTAACCGAAGATAAATCAAAGATGATGCATATTTGTTCCTTGTTGCTTTGGAATGATTTTTGAGAGAAGGGGGTGAATGTCCCCTTTGTCACACCACTTTGAAACATTAAACCTCTTCCTATTGCTTTTGATTACTTAACTGTGTTTTACAGGAAACAAATACAACCTCCAAAAGTCTGAGTTCACCGATTAGCTGGGAAGTGGAAATGCTAATGACGGCTGGTGTAGTTCAAGGAATGATGGCACAGGATTTTCAGAGCTTCTAACAATTTTTTCCCATCCACCTACCCTCGAGTTCTCCCACCTACTATCCACAGTCACTTCTCTTTTTACTGTACTTTTTTTTTGGCTTTGTTTTTTCTTACCTTTCTGGCTTTTAGTTGGATTGGATTGACCTTCAGTTGATATGGTTTTTTTTCTTATTCCTTCTTTAATTCTTTTTGTTCTTTTAATGAATAGTGCTAACTTTTTAATTTATATTTACTTTCATATTTTTGTAACAAAGTCCAAACATATTCATTATTACCATCTTCTCCCTGTTTTGTTTTTGGACAAGGTATCACCCTGTCACCCAGGCTGGAGTACAGTGGTGTGATCACAACTCACTGCCACCTCCACTTCCTGGGCCCAAGCCATCCTCCCACTTCAGCCTCCGGAGTAGCTAGGACCACAGGCAAGTGCTACCACACCTGGCTATTAAAATTTTTTTTTCTTTTTAGAGATGAGGCTTCCCTAAGCTGTCCAGGCTTGTCTCCTGGGTTCAAGGCCTTGGCCTGCCAAAGTGCTGGGATTACAGATGTGAGACCCCACACTTGGCCACTTTTTTTTTGTTTTTTTGAAAGAGATGGGGTCTTTCTATGTCTTTTCATAACACTTAAAGCTCACATAGTGCTTATATGTAGGGTGACCAGAGTTTGTCTGGGTGTGGTATCAATTTATGGAGATTTTCCAGGTGTGACAGCCTCACTTTTACTCTCAATGGTATTCTGGTTGGAGAATGTTATTTGCCATCCTACTTAAATATTATATTGCCTGACATTATTTTACATCGCTTGTCTCCCTCATTAGAACGTAAGTTCCACGAGGATAGGACATTTTTTTGTTTGTCCACAACTCCCAAAGCCTACACCAGTTTCTGGCACACATTAACTACTCTATAAACATATGCTGAACTGAATGAATGAAGAGAGTAGTGCATGCCCCTTCGCATGTTTGAATTATTCCCTGAATTTCTCCCACCCAAGTTGTTACTATCTAAAATTTTAGTGCCCTTCGTAAACATGAAAAATTAGTTGTAATTGTTACTGTTCACATTCTAGGGTTGATTTTATTTCACTAGTTTCTATGGTTTCTGTGATTTCCTAAATCCCAGGCCCTCACTTTGTTTGCATCTTTTTCCTTGCTGAAATGTGCCCCGCAGCAGACGCTTCAGTGAGGCTTTGGGCGTAGTTACCTCCTGTACCTTTCCTATGTCTGAAAATCTCTCTCTCCCCTTTCATGTGAATGATGTTTCAGGTGGGTCTAATGGTCCTAATGGTCTCAATTCACTGCTTTCCTTCCACAATTTAAAGACGTTACTTCTTTTTATTTTATTTTATTATTATTTTTTTGAGACAAGAGTCTCGCTCTGTCTCCCAGTCTGGAGTGCAGTGGCGCGATCTCGGCTCACTGCAAGCTCCGCCTCCTGGGTTCAAGCAATTCTCCTGCCTCAGCCTCCCGAGTAGCTGGGATTACAGGTGCCTGCCACCAGGCCTGGCTAATTTTTGTATTTTTGTTTAGTAGAGATGGGGTTTCACCATCTTGGCTGGGCTGGTCTTGAACTCGTGACCTCATAATCCACCTGCCTCACCTTCCCAAAGTGCTGGGATTATAGGCGTGAGCCACCGCGCCTGGCCTACAGATTCCAAATATAATTATTATTTAAGTTTTGCCCTGTTGTTTGCATTTTAAAGGTGAATTCATTTTGCTCTTTATTGAGTTGTTTTATTCTTTCTCCTTGAGAATTTTCCTCTTGTGCTTTGGATGTGTGTTTTGCAGAGGCGTCTTGAGAGAGTGCTCCCATTCTTTTTCCTCTTCTCTCTCTCTGTGTCTGGTCATTTTCCATTGCATCCACCCATTCCTAGTCCAGAACCTGGCTTTCTTGGTGGCACTGAGCTGTGTGTCAGTGACATTAGAGACACTGCAGGTACAGACATGACTCAGAAGTTAGCTGGCCCAGTGCAGTCTGCTTTCTCCTGCTACAATGTGTCTGGCTGGCTAGTGTTTGCCGTATCCTGTGGCCTCCTCTGCAGCTGTTTTCAGTGGATTCTCACTGGTAGGTAAGCCCCACATCTCTGGTAGTGATGCTGGCTTGGTTTCCCTCTACAAACGGGGCATGATCACTTGTCTTTACTCCGTAGAGATTCCTCTTGTTCATGCACTCTCTTGCAACCCCCACCTCCGACCCTCCATCTATACTTTTGAAAATATATTTCATCTTATTTTTCTACTTGGAAACAGGAAAAATCCAAACTCTTAACTCACAGCAGTGTTTCTTGAACGACAGAAAAGTCTTGCAAGCGTGGAGCTACTGAAATGTCTTCATTATAATTAATCTGTATTGAACCTCCCTTTTCTACTTCCTTAACACTACCCTTAGTGTTTACCACTACCCTTTTTCAGCAAACAAGGGACTTCATTCCATTTTCAACCTGCTTGTACCCTGAGGCATCTGGCATAGTTAACACTGCTATTGTGCCTTCATGAGTAAATATGTAGTGAGTCTGTCACACACTAGGAGACAGGGAGACCAGTGTCAAGAGATGTCCTGGAACAAACGCTTTCTAAACTCAGACACAATCATTAGCGAACCCATGAGATGTTGAGAATGTTTCAAGCTGAGGGAAAACATGCGGAAAGGAAATTAGTCTAGAGGTATTTTAGTTTGGCTGGAGGCTGGAATTCAAGATAGCTTAAGTCAAGACACTAAACTCAAAAGGTAAGTAGGCACCGCTTAGGACTCTGTCAGCCACATTAAAGACTTAGATAATATTTTGAGGCCACATGTCTTAGTGTATGTGGCCACTAAAATGCTTCAAGTAGGAAATTCAGATGAGCAGATTTGTATTTTAGAAAAAGGTAGATTCAGATTTTAAAAATATGTTGCAGGGCAAATCTTGGAAGATGAGAGCAATGAATTAATGAGGGTTCTGAACTAGGACTTTAATAGAAAAGACAGAGACAAATGTATGCATTTGTGATAAGTAACATGTCAAAAGATGAACTTGGGTTTCTGAATGAATAGCGGTGGCTTTGTTCACTGAGATAGATAATACACAAGAACGAGCAGGTATGGAGGGAGAAGATGACAAGCTGAGTTTCAATTCACACATGATGAATTTTAAGGCATGGTGAGGCATCCGATTGAAAATGACCAGAAGGTCTTTGGGAGATCAGGGAAGAGATCCTAGTTCAAGCCACAAAGGAATAAATATTTTATCAGAATTTCTTACTTAGGTGTCATTGATGGGCTTTAAGTTCTTAAGTCCCTGAAACTGTAGGCACATTTGTTTTTTCTTTTTGTGCAGGTGAATATGCAGCATGCCTAACTTACTTTCCCTCCTTCTCTTATTCCCCACCCCATGTTAAATATGACAGCTGTATTTTGCAAGTATCTTTATTCTTTTATTATTCATTTTATTTTCATATAAATTAACATCCTAGAAAAATCGAAATAGAAACACTAAATACAGTATTGCACATAGCGATCTTTGTTAAATGCCCTATTATTTCATTGGAGAATGGTAATATACACACTGGAGGGACTGAAGGGGACAGGAAGACTACAAAACAACAGGAAAATAACCACTACTGTTCCTTTGCACTTAAACTACAAACTAAAAAGTAAGAGACCATACTTTACATAAATACAAACAATTATGATTTAGAACATTGTTTTTCTTAAGTTGCTTTCCATAATTGATTTGCAAGAGCAATAAATTCTCCCCTTTATCCACAACTGTAACTTGCAACGAAGATCATTAAAAGTAATGGAAAAAAAAAAAAAACCCAAAAACCCAGCTCATACAAAACCATCATGTTTTGCATTATGAGCTGACTCAAGTCATTGTATGACTTCAGTAAAAAAATGACCATCTTCTTTCACAAATATATAGCTATGGAGAGCAACCCAAGAGTTTGGAAAGCACTGATTATAAATGGTACTCAAATTTTAAAATAGAAAATTTACACGTAGACATGAAACTGATACAAACAATTCACTAGAAATAACATTTTACCCATATGTCTAAATGCTGTGACGTGGACTGGTTGTCAGTAGAAAGGAAAGTGTTTTTGCTGTGATGAGGAATATTCTCACAACAGGGAATTTTAGTTAATGTTTAGCATGTTCAGAATTAGTGCAGATACTGCCTCTTATACATGCTGTTTTGGTCTATCGGTATAATACCATAAACTTTTACAAAAAGAAAAGGCGTCAAATTCTCCACTGGTCTAGTACTTTTGTATTTTTATATGAATATACAGTAAAACTCAACAATTAGTGAACTGTCTAGAAAACAAAAAGATTATGCAAGAGGTCAAGAAGAAACATGAGCAGAATGACGGTAGTTTCCTTCCCACCCTCAGGTCAGCTGAATTTTGTGAAAGTCGTTGCAATGACTCATTTTCATTCTGCTTTTCAGTGTTCAAGTTTTCATGCTTATCTTTGCTTTCTGAAAACAAATACACCAGATAAAAGTTATAGTTAGAAAGAACTTTTAAAAATGGGAGGAGTTTAGAGTAGCCTAAAAAGGACCTTTTTATTTGGATCAAATTCTGTGGGACAAGGTTAAAGATCTACCAATCCATAAAGGAAAAAAAATATACGTGGGTCCTGTGTTATCTTTGACCACTTTTTTCAAGACAAATCGCCAAATACTTTTGAGGAAAAAAAAGTTTTAAAAATTTAACTTCTAACCAATACGAAAGAGTGTCAAACTCATCATTCTCATCCTCAGTCCTACCCGCAAATACATAAACGTGAAAACTGAAGTAGCTGCTTCACTTCATGGTCAACGTACTCTAATTATCTTCTGTACTTACAATAGCAGGATTGAGGCTAACTAATAAGTAACCATTCCTCCTCATTCAATGCAATGATAAGATTGAGGCATCAGACAGGAGCAAAAAAGCAGCTGAGCTATCACGTAGTAGTTATCATTAGATAAGATCATTTTGATACAGAGAAACTGAAGGGATCATTGCTTCTAAACGAAGATACAATTCCTAACTTAAAAAAATAGGGCTATTTAATCATATCCCAACTTGGGATATGATTTTAATGTCTTTTCCCTTTAGACTACATTAGACTAATTCAATTTAGAACGGTCCTACCTTAAGGCCTAACTCAACTTTTCATTTAAAACAGCATCATTTACCTACGCTGTGGTACCAAGTGATAATCCCTCAAAGCAGTCAACAAAACATCCTCAGTATCACAAGGATACTGTCATTTCACCCTTGTCATTTCACCCAAGCCCTTCCCTCCCAGGGTGGACAAGCTGGCATTTTGTTTTAAAGCGGGGAATGGGCCAGCATGAAACTTAAATGAGCTTGTTAAACTCCGTCTCTGGACTGACCACTGTCCGGCAGCCAACCCTGCCGAGCCATCTGTGGATATAAACGGGGTCTGGGCACCCTGGGCACCCTGTGCAAAGCGTCACAATGCTCTTGGCACTTCCCAGCAAGTTTCAGATCCCAGTGAAGCTAATCCAACTAAAATGATCACTCATGGCTCAAATACAGCCTGTGCCGTGATCTGTGTGTAATAAAGAAAAGTGAAAGATGGTCTCCCCACCCTGCCCCTGCCAACATGCACATATCCACATAAATGCACACCCTCAGTAGATTCAGTAGATTTATCTTAACTTTTTTTTTTTTTTTTTTTGAGACAAAGTCTCACTCTGTCGCCAGGCTGGAGTGCAGTGACACAATCTCGGCTCACTGCAACCTCTACCTCCCAGGTTCAAGCGATTCCTCTGCCTCAGTTTCCCGAGTAGCTGGGACTACAGGCACACAACACCATGCCCGGCTATTTTTTTGTATTTTAGTAGAGACAGGGTTTCATCATGTTGGGCAGGATGGCCTTGATCTCCTGACCTCATGACCCGCCCACCTCGGCCTCCCAAAGTGCTGGAATTACAGGCATGAGCCACAACCCGCAGCCTAATTCTTAAGTTTTGAATAATGAATATCAAGACTCCTAGCCTTCTGGGCCTGATTAAAGGCATAAGAAAAAGGAGATTCTTGAAGTCAGAAGCTCCTTATTTATGCACACTTAGTAGAAAAATAATTAAAATATTATGAGTTTGTATATATTACGAAAATAGGATTTAAAAGCCAAAGAAAATAACAAGTTAAAAATCAGTAAAGTGAAATACTTACAATTCCAGAATCATGTCTTGGTTTTATTTTATAAAGTGATTTTCCCTTCTTCTGTCTACACACCTCCTCGGCTTCTTTTACTCTGATGGGAAGAAGACACATGTATTTAAGCAAAACCTACTTAGATCACCTCATTCTACCTTATAGTAAGCGAGCAAACCTCAACTCAATAAAGATTTGAATTATTGCAGAAAATAATATAATACACAGAAGAATGTTATCTGACATTTGAATTGAAAGCCTAAACTGTTACAACTACAGAGGCTCATTTATCTAGGAGTTCTTAACTTGGAATCATAGTATGATTGAATGGAGTAATACACAAACACATCAGAATTTCTATGCAGAGTGTGTATGCATTTCATCCTATATAAAAGGAATCTTATACACAAGTAAATAATGAAATACCCCTCATTGTCAGCTGAGAGTACGAGATTGATTCTGTTACATAAATAGGATTGGCACCATGATATAAGTTAGAAGCATTAGAATAATTAAAGAGTATCACAGCCAGGGCGCAGTGGCTCATGCCTGTAATCCCAGCACTTTGGGATGCCAAGGCGGGTGAATTGCTTGAGCCCAGGAGTTCGAGACCAGCATGGGCAACACAGTGAGTCCCTGACTCCACAAAAAATATAAAAACTTAGCCGGGCATGCCCTGCAGTGAGCTGTGATCAGCGCCTCTGCACTCTAGCCTGGGCAACAGTAAGACTCTCTCCTCTGCCTCCCCCCGCCAAAAAAAAAAGTGTCACATAAAAATTTACATGACGGCCGGGCACAGTGGCTCACGCCTGTAATCCCAGCACTTTGGGAGGCTGAGGAGGGCGGATCACGAGGTCAGGAGATCAAGACCATCCTGGCTAACAGGGTGAGACCCCGTCTCTACTAAAAAAAAAAAATACAAAAAAATTAGCTGGGCATGGTGGTGGGCGCCTGTTGTCCAGCTACTCGGGAGGCTGAGGGAGGAGAATGGCGTGAACCCGGGAGGCAGAGCTTGCAGTGAGCTGAGATCGTACCACTGCACTCCAGCCTGGGCGACAGAGCGAGACTCCGTCTCAAAAAAAAAAAAGTACATGCCATGCTTACTTAAAATTTTCTCAGATTAACTTCCTATACCACACACACTCAAACATAAAAATCCCTTGCAATAAATACTTGAGCCGTCTCTAAAAACTGAGCGTCACCTAGCATGGGAACCAATCATTTAATGGATGACAAGAGAGTGAGCAGTAATAACATTTTAGTGTTAATAATATTTCTCCTTAAGCATACATAACAAGGAAAACAACACTGAACTCACCAGAGGTACAGTTAAAAGAAGATGCTATTTGGAGCAAAGTCCTGTATGAATTTCTGGCTCTGCTCTTTGACACCGGTAGTGTTCTTATACCCCTGAACCTCACCATTCCCTCAAAGAGTGAAAAGGCTTCATTATATATTATCTTCATTATCACTGCACAGAGTTGCAAGGACTGAGTAAAATTTTATTTAAAAAGTTCTCTATGCACTGTAAAAGGCTATACAATTTATTATTGTTTTAATTAAACAAATAGTAAGAAATCTATAAACTGGGTTTTTTTTTTAATAAAAAGGAGAGCTATGACAAGGAAGATAATCTATCAGGTAAAACTTATTTTTTATTACTGTGATTTTTCCTTGGGAATTAAAAATGAATTATTTCTGGAGAAACCAAAAAGGCTATGCCTTGATCTTAATAAAATGCATTTCATATAGACATTACAGCCTCATTTCCTGAAAGAAGTGAATTATAAATATATTTCTTGATCCCTGTGGCAAAAGAGCTAATGACAGAATTCATGTCCTTTACAACTAAATCAATTCCTCTTTTTAAACAATAGAATGAAACAAACAACTCAGTATTGCAGCTATAAGATTGATGTTATAGTTTATATTAAAGCATAACAAATGAAAGTAATTCCTTTCAGATATGAAATGCCTGCCTGGTTGATATTGTTAGTAATTCCAGAAAACGATGACAACTTAGAAGATACTTCATTGTTACCACTTTTATTACTTTTCACCCAAGTCATAAATTGTCTTTAATCCTTCCTCTAAACATTTGAAGATAAAAACATTTTCTTTATAACAAACTAAGGACTGCAGTGTCCTCATCTTCCTCTGAAACAGCTACCAGTAAATTTAAGTTGAAGTATTTGGATAGAGAATTAAGGAAACTGTTTTTTTTTTTTTTTTTTTTTTTTTTTTTTTCAGTACTTAGCCAAAATCCAGTGGATCTCCTCTTACATTTACTTGGAGCTTTTTAAAGCATTTCGTGGCTTTCAAATAAAATGTACTTTACAAGTATTTAGATCCTCAAAGCATCTTAATTTTCTCCCAATCCTGTTTATTTTGTTCTCAAAACACATTTTTGTAAGGATCACAAGAAGCTGAGCCTAATACAAACATTTTTAATTTTACACAAAAACATTCCGTCATTCCTTATGGCAGAGACCACAAAAATTGAGGAGAATGTACATCAGAGGCCTCACGAGATCTTTCAGCTCATCCATTCATTTTTCAGTCATTTCTGAAGCATTAACTCCAGGTCCAGCACTAGGCACAGCTCAATATTACAGGCACAATGATCTAGTAGGAGATGTCTACTATATCAATGTCTACTAGGAGGAAGACATTCATGAGCAAGTAAATGGCAATGTTGCATTAAGAGCAACCACCTAGGTTCCTATAAGGTACAACTGTGTCCTGGAGGAGGATCCTGGGTGGGTAGGCAGGGGTTACAGAGATCTTTCTGGAGCAAGCTGACTGCCGAGCCTTGTTTAACAGACACATCTTAATCGTTTATACTTCTCTTGGAAAAGGAAAATGGATTGAACACGAAAGAATAACATATAAAGTTTGAGTAAGAGTCAAGAAACATGAAACTGAGCTTCAAGAACTACGAACAGTTCTCCCTTCTGCTGCCATAGGATTCCTGTATGCAGGCAAAAGTTCCGATTGGTTTTCAGGTTTATGCCTCGGTTTCTCATGTGTGTGATTAGGATGAGTCAGTCACCTCACCCTAAGCGCCTCTGGCTATGCACACATAAATGACCTGGGCAGCTGGAAAACTGAGTCCCAGAACCTTGAATATAGTTCCTCTTCTAATTTCGGAGCAGGAGATTCATGGAGAATTGGTTAAAATGCAGCTCTCTAGGCCAATTCTTAGCTATTCTGATTTAGTCACTCCGGGATGCTTTCAGAAGCGGCACCCAGCAGAACCCCGTGTAGCTGGCCTGTAAGGACCACCCTGAGAAACGGTGCCCTGGAACTGAGGCATTCACACTCCCTGAAGCCCCAGCGGTGCTGCCAGACAGACCCCCAGAACAACGACACCTCCTCAGTCCCCGCCGTTGTACCGGATCGCAAACCCAAACCACATCAACTTGCTCCCAAGTCTCACTCCTCCTAAGCTTCCTAGCAAATGTTGCTGCTTTCAAAAGCCAATTTTATTTCAACAAAGCTCTGACAACAAGACATTTTTCCACACTTTCGGCAGGAAAAAGGAATGCATCCCTCGAGGTCGAATGCGTTGCCAGAGTTGGCAGAAATAAGAAAAATAATGAGGGAGAAGTCAAAGACAGCCCGAGCCAGCTGCCAACGTTCGCATCTTCCTACTTGGGCTCTCCATTTGGTTTACGGCGGCAGATTTCAGCAGCTGCCATTCTGAGTCTGTTGAGTAACTGTTTGTACGTGGTCCCTCCTCTTTCTCTCCTGCCACACTCCTCATTCAGCGATGCCCAGCATTTCCTAAACTAACTAGAAAAAAGATGTTCGTGTCACAACTAGACCTGAAAGGCTTTAAGTGAAAAGGCATGGTGGAGATAACATTTCAAACAATAACTTAAAATGACCAATATGTCCTGTGTGGGAAGGAGGAGAAAGTAAAAAGAGGGACAATACCTCATTTGTAGAATGAGAAAGCAATCACCTTGAAGAGGGAAGTGTATACTGAGAGAGGAAACAAGAGCAGGGCTGAAGAAGATGGTCAAAAGGCTTCCAAACTGTGTCCGCACTTGAGTTTAACTTCTAATCCTGGTGGGGGTCTATGGATGCTGTCCAGAGACACAGCTCCTGTGCATGATTCATGAAGGTGTATATATATATATGTGTGTGTGTGTGTGTGTGTGTGTGTATACGTGTGTGTGTGTATATATATATTTTAGTCGATGCATTCACACAAAGGGGGACTGACAGGGCATTTGTGAATCAAGATTTCACCCTATAAGAGAACTAAAAAGGGAAGTAAAAATTTTAAGATGGCATCTGTGACAGGCTCGTTTGAACAGTTGCAACTTCTAATTAGCAACCCAGATAACAGAAGGAAAACATGAGCAAAATGATAATGAAAGGAAACCTCATTCATCATTTTTAGTGACTTTGGGATAAAAATCAAACAACAACACAGAAAGCAGAGACTAGAAAACAGGAAATGTAGCATTATCTTTTAGATGGAAGCGATGGATACTAAATGGTAGATAATGTCTATAAAACTTGATGTTTATTTTAATATTTTATTATATCTTTTATTGTCTATGAAACTTCAGAAACAAAACTATGCGGAATAAATTTCAAAGGCAAGTCCTCATCCCTTACATGGAGGACCAAGAGTCATGAAATAATATGTGGCATTCTGTATCTCTTAAGGGAGAATTTAATTATGGGAAATAACCAAAGAGCATATGGAATCAGGTTTGGCAAACAGAGTAGGTGACCAACATGAGTAAAGCAAATTTCATCTCGAAGCAAACTTTCCTTGTAGAAATGCTCAGAAACAGTGAGATTATTCAATGAATGTGTAATTCCCAAATAATGGAAACTTGCCCCAATATGGACCTATCTTTGTATAACCAATTTTGAATACTCTTTCTTGAAACAAATTCAACTTTTCTCTCTCTTAAAGAAATGGAAGGCCTGGTGTGGTGGCTCACGCCTGTAATCCCAGCACTTTGGGAGTCCAAGGAGGGTGGATCATGAGGTCAGGAGTTTGAGACCAGCCTGGCCAACATGGTGAAACCCTGTCTCTACTAAAAATACAAAAATTAGCTGGGCGTGGTGGTGGGT